TTAGAATCGCATCCAGGGAGGAGAAGGAAACAGATCCTGTCGGCTGTATAAGAAAATGTTTTCCAATATGTTACCTTAGCTAGGCTATTGGTTGAAATTTAAACAGGTATCCTTCAAATGCATGTTAGTGAAAAACCAAAACTATTAAGTTTGAGAATGACTCTTTATAGAGTTAATATTCAATATGATTATTATATAGATATTCTCGTAGATAGACTATATAGATTGAATATAGTAATAATAGTAAATAGATGGTCGCGAGTAATGAAATTGTTAGTATTGTTTACTGAAAGTTATAAGAAAACCTAAATTACAAATATTATTTTTATTATATTTTATTATTATTATATAGCAATTTTAATTATTATCCTTGCAACTATCTACCTCTTAATTTAAATAACTGCAACGTTTGCTAAGAAAACATACTAACGGTTAAAATAATATAGTGTTTTATCTATCTATTAGGACAGTAATAAACTAATGCAGAATTAAATTAAAAAAGTATGATAGTACCTCCTATAAAATGTTTTCAGATAGTTTGGGAAATTGTTACATTTCTTACGAATGGTAAGGATACATAATGTTGTGAAGCTATTTTAAAATCCCTCTTACCTTAAATTCAGTATATACTATTGGATGAAAATATCTTCAGTTTAAATTCCTTTCGCTTTTAACAAAAAGTGCAGAATAAATAACCTTGACTTCCTGTTACGAGAATAAAAAACACAAAAGGTAATAAAATGGAAGAAAAATGCAAGAAATACCGCAAAATCCTCAAAGGAACTTCGCAAATCAATTCCTCTGAAAATAAATAAAAATTGCTGTTGATTTTTAAGGACATCGGACATTGCCGAGTAATTTAAAAATAAAATTTTTTGGTTCCTTCTAATTTTAGTGCAGAAAATTTCGAATATTTCCTTTCCATTTCTAATTGTGACCTTTCGTAAATTACAGTTTTTATAAAGGAATACAAAGCTCGGGAGTAAAAAATTAAATTTTTGTCATTTTGAAGAAAAAATATTTCGTAAGTTAAATATAGTGATTAATTTACTTCAAATAATAAAAAAATTTTTTCTCCAGTGTATATATACATATATTTGATACTATTCGTTTCGTTTGGCTTTAAATTTGGCAGAGCATGAGTTCAACCCTTAGTAATTGCAGTCTCAAAAAAAATTATTTACGAATAATTCAATATAAAAATAATTTCAAGACCTGTAATGAAACATCTGTATTGCCAAAAATTCAATTAATTAAAATTATAAGACAAGAATTTTTGTTATAGTTCACTAATTTCCGAAACTTTTCTATATATTATATAGGTATGTAGGAACAGTAAGAATGCTAAGCAAGGCAACATACGTTTCATATATAATATAAATTATATAAAAGTAATAGTGTATTGTAATTGCTCTCAATAAATAAAGCAGTTTAGTATAGTTTAAGACCTCGAAAGATAAACGTGTTGAACTTTACTCTACATATATTTAGCTGTACATATTTATATGTACATATGTACACAATAGGGTGCTATTAAAGTATATAGGAAATATATTTTGCTAAAAAAATAATCTGTGTAAAATTTTAGCTCAATTGGATAAGTGAAAATAGCGCCCCAACAGCCCCAAAGATTGGAAAGTAACCATTTTTTCCACAAAGTTCACATTTAATTGTTTATATCTTCGACATATTTAATTTTACATAAAAACTGTATTCTCAAAAGTTATAGATCTATTAAAAATAACCAATTCACTTATACAAAGTTTTTCTGTATTTCTAATAATTATTGAATAAAAGAAAAAATAAGTTGAAATCATCCGACTGTTTGCAAATGCTATGAATGGAATTGTTCACTTCAGCTTTACAAAAATTTTTATAATTTAATATTTCTTCTAATAAAAAGAGTCCTGATTCTGATTTTCTCTGACAAAATTTTTATTATTTTATTTAAAGTTGCTGAAGCAAAGTATCATTATTACAATTTGAAAAACGACGGCGGTAATCGTTAACAATTTTTCAAATGTACTGTCGCTCATGTCAGTTTGAGGGGTGTATTTTCAAAAAGTCATCGCACAACTTGAAAATATAAAAAAACGTTGTATGTTTGTATACAAACTGATCCCTTTTCGCCGATTTCAGTTATTTTTACACGGTCTATTAATATTCTCTTGACTTCCATGCCATGTCAACCAACAAGCTCAGGGTGCCGCGAAAAATTTTCCGAACTTCGAGAAATAAAGGCACCCTATACATATATTAGAGTAGTGTCGGTTAATTATAATTTCTTTTCGAATGACAAATTCAATTTAAATTAGTGCAGAGTTGCGAAAATCTCATGTTCACATTAGCTAATATGAATTAATAATTCAAAATTAAAATAACTTTCACATCATTGTGCAACATACTATATACATCATACTTACTATACATTTACTCTTAATTATCAAAAAAATTCTTTCAACTTAATGGATTATATTCCTTTCTGAAGCCTGAAGTTTCAAACCATACAAAAACTTAAGGCGGTATTGACTAAGCAAGATATTTTATATAATGGATTATTTACTTCATCTTCGTATTCAAGATAACATAATTTTCATCTTAGGCATTATATAGTATACTTGTTTTATATTTAGCATGCGTTTCAAAATACCTTAAAAATATTTATTCCTGTATAAAATGTTGGCATATGCCGTTAACATGTTCTAGAATCATTTAACAATATATGCAGATATGTGTATATTATACACATTGCATAGCTTTTTCTTAATTACTTCATTAATCTATTAAAATTAAATGTGTTGTTATTTAAGTATTATTTTCATTATTTTATGCTTGATAAAGAGTTGCACTAAAATAATACAAGCTGATAAAATAAAATTAGTATAATTAAATTTTAATTTTCTGCTTTATGAAAGTAATTAGTTGCAAATTACTTCATTATTTATTTTCTCACATTTATAAACATTAGCAAAATTTTTAATTGAAAATGAAATGTAGTGCGAGGTAAACACATTGATGTCCGACAATTTAATTTGATAGTGAAATACTTATATCAAGAATATATGGGCGTAAAACATAGAGATTGGAGATTGAGATAATTTATTCAAAGAGAAATTTTTAAAAAGTTCTGTAGTTGATGTAATGCATAAAATTCTTATTGTATTTAAGTCAACAACAAAATTGTTTCAATATATTATCAATAGTACTGCGTTTACACAAGCTAGACTTTGCAGAGTTTTCACTAATATATAAAAATTTTGGTTCACAGTTAAAATTTGAAAATAACGCACATTTCCATTTGAATGTTAAAATCGGGTCAAAATTTTGTCAGTGTAGATCCCAACCAATTTATGTAGTTTACACCTGACAGATAAATAATAAGAATTCATTTATAAATAAAATATTTTATTATAACAAAAAAGCTGATTTAGTACCGGTAATGACTTCGTATGACTCAAAAACTTCTAACTCAGATAAGTCGGATAAGTACATAAAGCTTAAACAAATAATATTAAATAAAAAAACATGAATAAATGTAAATTGTCGAGAGCAATCCAAATAGTACATTTAAACAAACGATAATATTCATGTGCGGACCTGGAAATAATTGTCACCAACATTCCTAATCATAGGTCGGTGCTTCATCACAAGTGGGCAATGATCGACATATATGTGATCAATTTATACTCGTTTGAAATCCTTGAAAGATTAAATGAATAAATCCCACTGTGAAATTATTATATATCTAATACATTTAACAGTTAATCGAAGAAAAAAAAATTGTTTAAATAAAATTTGGGTTAAATAAATTAGTTTTATATTTACACTGCTTTTTAAGTTGCAATGTTCCAAAGGATTATAATGTTATTGTTTAAATGTTTTTAAAAGCAGATTCTAAAAACAATTAAAATTAAGTGTAAACAGTAAAGCGTGATAAATTTAAATAATAGACTATACGAAACACCCATGAGTTATTAGAGGTCAATAAACTTTTATGTTCACAATATTAATATAGACCTAGACCCATCGTGTATATTATATTGTTGACTTAATAATATGCATTCCAAGAAGAATACCAATGAATTTCTTATATCTTCCCTCTTTGAATAATTAGTTCAGTTAAAGTTAACAGTACACTTAAGAAGTAAATAAATTAAGAGTGGAAGGTGCTAATTTTCTTGTTTTTATTATTTGTTATTAACTTACTAAGCAATCATAAATTAATATATCAATCATATATTAAATTAATAAATTCTTTAATGAATATATGCAAAAAATTCATACGGATGACTTCCATGAAATGCACAAAACCCTTCGCAGGAAGCCTTCCTAAGATTAGTCCTTGATATGTAAAAATACGTTTCGAGTTCTATACATATATACGTATATATTTAAAGTATCACTTTTAACTGAAAATATCGAAACAACTTCAATAAAAATCAATATCTAAGAAGAGAACATTGGTGTGGAATCAATCAAACAGTTTTTATTCATTTATCATATGAATGAAACAATTAAAATTAATTTAATTAATTTATTAATCTGTTTAAAAAGTATTTATTTCACCACACATTTGTACACGTAGTCAGTATAAGAATAATATGCTCCTAAGTTTTTAATAATAATTTGATTTTCCTACCTCGAGTATTCAAAAATTTGCCCTCGTTTTTCTGAAATAAATAAATACAAAAAGTTCCATGAGATATTTCATTTATCGATGATATAAAATTAATATATCAATTTTTAATATTAATTAAACGTATGTAAATAATTCAAACACTGACTTTAATATTCTTGTCATCTATAGATAATTAAGCCTATCAAACACACAATGCTGATAGAAGAGACTTTTTGATTTCGTTTTATTCAAAACAGCTGTGCATTTTATTCTTAAATTGAATTTATCTATTAATAAAGCTTAAATTTCTCAATGAGGAATTTTTTATTAATATTTATATGTTCATAGGTATTTACGAAAACATACTAGTGATAATACTTACGTTCTTTTACCATTATTATTATTAGTCCATTGGTTTTTTGAGCATTTGAAATAATTTTACTCACTGAGAAGCGAACTTTAGTGAACTAAGATTGTTCACTAGATCATCTAGTTTTGTTGCAATATCTTCGATGATATCAGTTTCATCCAGAGTAACATCTAACTCTAGTTTTTTTGCAACACCATCTTTGACATCAGTTTCATTCACTGTAACTTTTACCTCTACTTTTTTAGCAAAATCTTCGATGACAATAGTCTCATCCAGTGGAACCCCCACCTCCGGCTTATTACCGAAACGTCCATTTGAATGAATGTCGAAGCTTTTTGCCTCTGTAATTTTAAAATTCTTTTTTCTATCCATACCGTTCACTGTTGGGACATCCTGGTTATTTTCAGTAGTTAAAAATGCCTGCTTTACATTTTTCTTGTTATTTTTATTTCTATCTACTTCTGCTTGAATTGAGCACTCACAAGAAGTCTCGTCTTGTTTAGTATTTATATATGACAAGAATGCATCTTCCACCAATTTATCGTTATTGTTACATGTACCCAATACATCTTCACCTGTGAACTTTAATGCAGGTACTCCCAATTGATCATTTCCATTTGATAAGAATTCCTCTTTGGTTTCATGTCTTCTTTCATCATACATACAAAACTGGTGGAAGTTTTGATGTGCGTTTGATTGGTGAAAGTTAAGAATTTCTGCCTGTTGGTATATATCAGTATTTTCTGCAGGAACTTCTTGTTGGTTATAGAAGTAATCAACATCTTCAGTATGCTTATTATACATATCAAAATGCCGAAAGTTTTGAACTGTGTTCAGATGTTCGAAACCACGAAGTTCTGGCAGTTGACTTATATCAATATTCTCTGGACGAATCTCTTGCTGATTGTTTATATTTGCATATAATTCACCTTCGGTATGTTCGCTGTACATATTGGAATGTAAAAAGGTTCGAACAGTATTTAGATGTTCAAAACCAGGAAGTCCTGGCAGTTGGCTTATATCAATATATTCTGCGGGTGCTTGTTGTTGATAATTTACATATGTAATTATATCACTGGTATGTTTATTATTCATATAGGAATGTAGATGATTGTGAACTGTGCGTATATGTTCAGCGTTCATATGGGAGTGCAGAAGGTTTTGAACTGTGTTTAAATTTTCAACGCTAGGAACCTGTGCCATTTGTCCCATATTAATATTTCTTGTAGTATTTTCAACATATTCTTTTTCAGCGTAATGTTTCGTGCTATTGTAATTAGATGAAATGTTTGAATCCGTTGTCTCTTTATTATTTCTATTGCTATTGCTAGTTTTTTGCACTATTGGTGCATATTGTTGATCATTATATAAATGAAGCAATTTTAGTTCTTTAATTATGTATTCGTATCTTTCTAAAGCATAATCATAAATTCGACTGCGTTTATTGGAAACTATGAAGAGAAAGTATTATTTTCTGCAAAAGAGTAATGCGAAACAATCAATGAGGGGGCTGCTGTTATTACCTTTTGAAGCTGCTTTTTCAGATTGCATCGCTCCATTAACTTGTTCATCACACTTGTCGTCTGACGGAATGATGTCCACTAGCTCTTGTGCTTCTCTGATAAAATTTTGAATGGCGATGGTAAGATCATCAATATCTTTTGATTGCTCATTCAATTTTGAATTTAGATCAGGATTCAACATTTTATAGTAATTAAAGTTTCTGTAACTTATAATATATGAGTTCAATAATATATGTAAATATTTAATTTATTTTTTTTTCTCAGTTTCAGTACAGAAAGTAAAGACAATATGCAAAATGTGCTAAATGTGTACAATATACAATATTTGAAATTTTGATCAAGATTTTTAACACTTTCAAATTAGTTGTTTTTTTTTTAAATAATTGAACTTGAAATTGAACTTTAATAAGAATAACTACATATTTATGTCATACAGTTTACTTAGTTAAAAACTAGTATTGTTACGATATTAGTTATATTTAATTGTTCTTATACAGAATTATCTTCAGAATGATATCGAAAGAGAGTGTAAATAGAATACGTAGCTCTAATAGTCTGGTGGGATTGAAACTAAATGTTATTACAAAACACGATACAATATTTTTCGACATATTTGAAACTTGAAACTCAGACATACGAAGTTTAAAATAAGAGTATTCGTCCTTTAAAATAAGAGTATTTATTCACATAACTTCCTCGCTTCTGAAAAGTGTCCACCTGGCTACTCGTAAGGACTGAAGAGAATAATTAACCAAAATCAAAAATTCTTAGGTTATAGTTATCGCAAAAATAAAAGCAGGCATTTAAACTGATTGATTTGTTAATAGCTAAGATTATGTTGAGATTTACGTAAAAAGGAGACTTTAAGTTCAAAGTATATTTTCTGATATTAAGCAGTTGTTGGGAATTTTCCACAGCCGTCATAACTCTAAAACTGATTGATCAATGCAAAATAAATATTGACTGCCCAGATAATAAAATTTGTATTATCTGGCTTAGTGACAGTAGGGAAAATCAAGAAAATGATAAAAGCTTTGTCATTTACCTAAATATTTCGTTTTGTTTATTTTAAGAAAATTTAAATCGAATATACACATTTTATTTCTCAAGACAGCTGTAAGTGTGACAAGATAAGATATGCATCTATTAAGTATTTATGATATCACAAACACATGATGCAGTGCTGTCACATAATATATATCAGCAATCTTATAATGCAAGAGGAGTTCATTATAGATAGTGTGAAAACTTAATAGAATTCGCTACGAATACGATTAGTTAACCTTATCTCTGTAGATCCTTGTTGTGCCACTATTTCAATTTTTTAATACTTTAGAAAATATTAGGTATAATATTAGCGAAGATAAGTGACTTATGTCATTTTATGATTAAAATTTGATTTACTTGAAGTTGGTGAGTTTGAAAATTTATTCTAGAACCTGCCAACTATCTACATGGACTACATAACAAGGTCAACTAATAAAACTTCTTGTAACATATACTATGCTTGATTAAAATATTGTAGTTGGATTTTCATGAATTCATTTAAGTGTAATTTACATTATCTAAGCTGTAATATTAAAAATTGATAAGAAATGGCAAGCGTTAACGAGCTTCTTTGAAGTAATTTCTTTGTTATTCTTTTTACTTAACCTGCAATTTTAAATGTTTTTAAAGCATAAAATTGGGTATCTGGCTAAAAGCTATAAACTGCTTTTTACTCCTTTACTCTTTTACATTATTTTAATTTCATTTTTATTTTCTTTTAATCAGAAAGCAAATTCTCTTTCATTTCACTTAAAGATAAAAGGACCTTAAGCCGAAATTTATGCATTTCATTGTCACTGTTGCTGTCTGCTTAAGTTGCTACCAATTTCATGTTAAGACAAAATGAAGCCAGCTACTCTTGGAATATGGAATATTCAATGGCACAATAGAGTCGAATAAAGAAAATACAAACAAAAACCAGAAACGATACCGAAAACAAAAGCTTAACAATGCTGTTTGCCCGCTAAAATGCATTTAAAATTCACTTTGATTAGAAATTCAACAGAAAAACAAGAAAAAAATAAAATAAAATTGTAACAAATTTTCAGTCACATTACCAGCGAAGGATAGTGAACTTTTAGTGCCACAGACCCACGCAAGCCAACATAAACCAACGCAAACCAACAAGGACCAGCGCAGACTAGCACAGACCTATATATTTGGCCACATTTTGCTTGTATATAGTAGTGCAGAGCAACCATTGTCCATGAAAAAATCGGAACAAGCTGCGAATTTCGAGTGACAGCGCGACAGGATATAAAACAATCAGAGTCAAGATAGCGGAAACGGAAGTGATGGTTGTAAAAGGCACAAACACAGACAAGCCAACATTGTCTACATATATACACAGCGCGCTATATAGTCGTATATCCAACAAATTACTATTGTGGGTTTACTTAATGCAATGCCATGCCAAGCAATGTATAATAAAGTGAAATGTTGGCTGTAGCGTAGTTCGGTGTTTATTGCGCTGCAAATTGTTAGTGTATAACCGCTTCGCTTCATTTTCGTAAATAAAGTAGACTTTGAGGAAGTTACTCAAAATAAGAGAAAAATTTAATACTAATTACAAAAACTGAAAAAAAACTTAACAATGTAAAATTTCCAACAAAGATGTATTTTTTATATTATAAATATATTTCACTACAAGTATCCTTTACAGCTTCTCAAGTATCTTGCAGTGCTCTAATTTGTGAAGTTTTAAAATGTGCTGCTCACATTTTTTTTAATTTTAGTCTGTCTGTTTTATGCGCCCGAAATATAATATTTTAATATATGTTCCTTGTTTCTAACAAATAAATGTCATTTTTATTAAAAATATTTTCACCTACATATGCAAACAGCAGCGCATATCAGTGCAAGCGGGAAATATGAGTAGTGTTCTTCACAACATCTTTACCCACTTACCCACTAGTTGTATTTTACCAGGACTCGTCTGCCACTTACATAATTTGCCGAATCAACAGTGACTTTCATGCGAAGTACTTTG